AATACACTACGCACGTATGAGATAAGATACGAAATGAAGAAACCTATCCTACCATAAAATTGGAACAACCGACCCTTTAATGTGACTAAGAACAACCCATCACTCTCACTTTGAAATACACTACGCACGTATGAGATAAGATACGAAATGAAGAAACCTATCCTACCATAAAATTGGAACAACCGACCATTTAATGTGACTAAGAACAACGCCAACACTCTCACTTTAGAATACACTACGCACGCATGAGATAAAATACGAAATGAAGAAACTGTGACTAAGAACAACGCCATCACCGTCACTTTAGAATACACTATGCACGTATGAAAAGATACGAAAAGAAGAAACCTATCCTACCATGAAATTGGAATAACCGAACATGTACTGTGACTAAGCCGGTGACTCAGATTTGTTGATAGTTAGTCGAGGCGTACACATCGAGCTCACTCGTTGTTGTGTTTTGACTTTCTTTTTTCTTCTGTTTGCTATTGCACGACGAGCTATTTGGAGTTGTTTTGTGGGACGTTCCTTTTCGAAGGGTTTTGACAACGAGCAAGATCCACCAGTCGGTTCCACTTTCGAATTTCGGGTAGGATGACACGCCACGAACACGCAGGTACGAGAATGACCCAACAAAGAGCATGGCAAAGCACAGCAGATAACATCCTAGAACTGGGAATCTAGAACAGAACCACCTTTGACCGTCCCTCACAGCATAGATCAGCTTGGCATTTTTTGCGCATCATCGGATTTTCACTAGAGAATCCTTCACTCGCCTGTTGAAGAGCAAGACCCCGGCACATAGACTATTGCCTCTACTCGAAGTATGGATAGCGCAACATGGCTTCATGAACAGCACGATTCCGCTTATGATAGTGAGCGGCACAAGTCCCATTTTTGAACAGCAGAAGCCGACAATCATTATTGCAAGTGTGTAGGAGTTTCACACATTCAAACATATCGGCTCTTGATAAAACTGGCCAGGGTCTCATTCATACATCTTGGACATTAGATGGAGGCGTACGCACCAGGCTTACTCGTTGCTTTGTACTTCTGTTTCTTTCATTTTATGGTTCTGGGTTTACGCAAGAGGCTGGACTGCGAAAAATGTTCGCGGATTCGGCATTCGTTGATACTTTGTTGGTTCTGTTGAACGGAAAGGATGCTTGGTTCGAAAAGAAAAATACGAACCGGGCGCATTTTCCGCTGAGCAGTGGTCAACAAAGTTGTTGGCAACTTCAATTGCCGCTCGGATACGTTAGGAAAAATACTTTTTATTCGATAGGGATTGGTTTTGTGCAGTGTTCTATTCGGCAGGCCCTGATTTTTTGGACTAATAATTAGTTCAACCATTTTTATGACTCGTTACTTTCCTGCTTTATTCCTCATTGCCATGAGTCTTTTCAGGGATTTGTGCTTTACTTATTGCGCATCTAAGATGCTCTTCTCTCAGTTGCTGCGAACAAAACGTCTGCGTATTTTCATTTGTAGCAAACAGAGTGAAAGCACTGCAAATTGCCATTCACATTTCACGTTAGCAACCGCTCTGTTACCGAGAGTGCCCACGAACTACGAAGGAGAGCGAAGAGTTCCTTGTTCGTCCTTACTCGGCGTTCGTTTCCTCGCCACCGTCGGTCTCGTCGTCTTCCGAAATCGTGAACCGACCGACCAAGCCATCGCTCCCTCCGTTCGATGCCATAAAGCCACGAACCACGGCTCTGGCTTGGTTGGTTTCCAGGGCATCGTCCTGGAGCATGGCCGAGCCATCGCAGCGTTCCTTGGCGTTCTTGGTGGCTTCCGCCAGGATGCCCTCGAGGCTGGCAACGGGATTTGCCGTGCTGTGGTCTGCTAGCTCCTCGTCCTTGACATAGTGGGGCAACATGAACTTGAGAAACTCGGTGTCCACCAGCAGCTGCCGGTAGCCTTGGTTGGTGAAACGAACCAGCCGCACGTCTTCTCTGAGGGCCAAGAAGGCCACCTTGAGTACCTGGAAGACGACCAGGTTCCTGTCGAAGGCAAGGTCTTCGAAGGGATGGGGAAAGGCGAATACTTTTTCCGCAAACATGCGCTCTACGTCGATCGCCAGGGTCGACCGAATGCCCTGGTTTTGCCGGGCCATGGTCAGGGAGACGTACTCGTCTTCCAGATCTTCCGGAACCGGCCCCGCCCGCTTGGGGCCTCCGAACAAACCGGCGCAATCAAAGGCCGTTGATTTGGCCACGGTCAGGAGAGACCACGCACCCTCCCTGGGACCGGTGCTGGCTTCCTCGCTTCCTTCGTCCCCGGAGAGTTCCGACAAGCCCGAGGAGAGCCATTCCCCCGCTTCGTTTCCGCGGTCGATGGCGTAGAGCGCCAAGACCCGGGAGGCCGCGAGGCGGAAGCGCATAGAGGTGGGATCTTTGTTGTTCGAGTTTCGGTCGTCTCCGTTCCCGGGAGCTCCGTCCGCAAGCGCCGTGGCAAAGAGACCATCGGCGGCCTGGGCACTGCGGTGTTTGTTGATGCTTCCCGTGTGGATAGCAATGGATTGGTTAATGTCGTCTACCACCGTTCGCTGGGCGAGCCGGCACATTTCGGCAATCGCGAGGGTCAGGTAGGATCTTGCGGACGACCCATCGCTGGCTGCCGATGCCGATGCCGATGCCGATGCTTCCCCTTCCAACTCGTCGAGCTCTTCGAGGAGATCGTCCATGGCGTTCTCGACCAGCTCCGAGAGCTCGCTGTCCGTTTTGTCCTTCGAATGGCGGAACAAGGCGGGGCTAATGATGTTGCCCGCGGCCCTCTCGTCCTCGGGGATTTCTGGCATCACGTCCAGGACGTATTTCGACTCGCTGGATTCGCAGCCGGCCAGCATTTCCAGGGCCGTCGCCAGCCAGGAGGCAAACCGGGCCGTGCTTTGCTCGACCGCGGTCTTGAGCGTTGCGTCGTTTTTCGAGGAGCCGTTGGTGGAGGACGATACAATGGATCTCACCGTGTCGTCGATCAGCTGCGAGGCATCCGACAGGGCCACGCTCGCCATCTGGACGACGCGGTCGATCTTTTCCTGGGCCGTTTTGCCGCCGGCGGGGTCGTTTTTCATTGCCTGGCGGCAAAAGGGTGCCAGGCAGTTTTGCAGGACCCGGAATCTGAGAACGAAGAGCTTCTGGTCGACCCGCCTTCGCACCATGGCTTCGGAGAGCGCCAGGGTTTGTTCCACGAGGCTCGACGCCAGCCCCCCGTCGATGGCCACCTCGGGCAGGGCCAGCGCGGAGGAGAATTGCTGTACCGACTCCAGCAGGAGAGCCGTGGCGTTTGCAATCTGTTCGTGGGCCCGGTCCTCCGAATCGTCCGGTCCCTCGTCGTCGTCGTGATTGCTCCCGTCTTCGTCGTCTCCCATGTTGCCACTGCTCGTGCGGCCGCTGTCCTGAAAACCGTAGCCGCTCGAGTCCAGGATCCCGCTGCCCCCGTCTCTGCTGATGCTTCGCCGCAGGTCCTTGGGGAAGGCCGTCTGCGCCGATTGCTCCAGGAGCGCCGTCCGAACGTGCTGCAAGAAGGAGTAAAAGGCCGTCGTCACAAACTTGGACAGGGGTTCCGAGGGCTCGCCGGTGTTGGTAGGAAAGGTCACGCTGTACAGTGCAGATGCCTCGAGGATGCTGTCCAGAACGTTGGTCGGGATCAAGCGGCTGCCACCTCCGCTCCCGGAAGCGGCCCCGTCGCTGGTGGGCGAGGCCTGGGGTGCGTCGCCGCCCATCGGGGCCGCTCCGGGGTTGTCCAGGGCCGACGACGTCAGGAGGGCTTCCTGGAGTTCGATGTGGTGGGTGTCCAGAAACCGCTCGATCAGCCGCAGGCAGGCGTCGAGAGACATTTCCTGGCACTCTTCCACCGACACCCCGGTGACGAAATCAATCTGGCTGGTGGCGGTGCTCGAAGCGGCGGAGGGTTCCGCACCGTTTTGTTGGTGCTGTTGGTGCTGTTGGTGGTTCAGAATCAGAACCGGGGTTCCCGCACACTCGAAAATCCCCGCGACGGTCTCGGGTGGATCCGGGGGATCTTCCATCGACATCGAAGCAGATCGGCTGGCACCAATGCCGTTTTCGTTTGCAGCCGCATCGCCTCCGTCGTCGGCGTGCTTCTCGTCCCCGTCATCGTCGTAAACGAAGGAATCGTCGTTTTCCGCTCCCCCCGCCGCTCCCGACGAGTTGTTGTAGTTTCCACTCCAGTGGAACAGCTTGTGCTTGACGTCCTCCAGGAGGCCCTCCACGATTTCGTAGCACTCCTGCTCGATGCGCTGCAGCGACTCGAAGCCGTCCGACTGCTTGTGGAGAATCGCGTAGGCCTTGAGGTAGGACTTGGTGGCCCACCGGTAGCGCCCGTCGCCGATGCTCTCGCGCAGCGTCGACGGGAGTTTGAGGAGGGATTCCAGCCGCTGCAGCAGGCGCTTCGTGCGGAGTTTCTCGACAACGGAGTCCCGGAGCTTTCCGCAGTTCGTTTCGACGTCCCTGGCCATCTCGCCCACCACCTTGACGCTCGAGGAGAGCTTCTTGAGGTTTCCGGCGTTGCACTGCACGTTGACGCCGATGTTTCGGACCGCATCCGTCGCCTCGATGAAGCGGCTGTAGTTTTCGTAGACCAGGGTTTGCATCGAGGAGTCTAGGGTCCGGACCTGGCAGGCCAGGGATTCCTCCGTTTCAAGGAGGGGGTGCACGCTGGAACCCAGGACGTAGCGTTCCGTGTGCTTGGAAGCGTCAAAGTGGACGGAATCCAGGTCGTCCTCGTCTCCGTTTCCACCGGGGGCCGGGAGCGAGCGATTGGACCGGCGCCTCCGACGGCGCTGCATCCTGCGCCTCGAAAACCCGGAACCGCCGTTGGAATCAAAGCCGTCGCCGTCTTCCTCGTCGTCCGAGCTCAACATCCGAATGTCGTCGTCGCCGTCGCTGCTGCTGTCATCGTCGCTGTCGCTGTCCAGCCCTCCTCCGATGCCGCCGTCATCGTGGTCGTCCGCGCCGGTCTTTCCGTAAAAGCTCTCCAGGAGTTTCTTGCGCACGAGGGCTTCCCGATCGACACCCTTTCCGTCCCCCCGGAGCGTGAGAAATTCGTCGTCGCTGTCGGAGGAAAAGGAGTCGTCCGAGGCGCTGTTGTCGTCGGGGGTAACTCCGCTCATCGTCGATCGATCGATCCTCCTGCCGCAGTGGTCAAAACCGTGGTGGTTCTTGGTGGTACGCGTTTCCCGAGCTTTGCACAGTGCGTTCGACGGAGGAGCGGTGGCAGGTCGTAACTTCGCAGCTGTCAGAATGAATGAAGCAATCCGTGAATCCCGATCGGTAAAACAAAAATGTCCACGGTCTCTGAAAATCGGTCGTTGACTAAAAAAAATCAAGTACGAACTCATACGAGTACCAGGTACCGTACGGAACTACGGTCTTTGGGAGTTGGATTTGATTCGAAACTTTGGGCAAACGGTAGGGAGCTCCGGGAATTCGAGGACTTGAAAAGAAACAGATTTGTTCATACCCAACATAGGTAAGATACGATACTATGAGTTCATACGTAGTAAAGTACTTCTACTTACTGTACTTCTTTGAGTTCACGTTTGGAGAAGAAGCGGCGACAGATGGAGACCATCACCTGATTTTTTTTCAGCAGTTTCCAATCACTTCGTCATTTTGCAGTCGTGCTCATGCAGAACAGAAACCCTACACGAATGCGTACAAGCCTACAGTACGGTGAGTACGTACGTACTGCACTCGTACTGATTTCCATCTGTTCTTCCTTAGACGAAGCTTACGGTACCGGTACGATTCATCCATTTCGTTCATTGATTGATCGGCGCAAGAAGAAAAGCCGATGCGAATTCGCAAACCAAAAAGTGCGATTCCTTGGTTTGTATGCAGTAGCATGGGGGATGCCTGTAGCAAAGAACAATGAACAGAGACAGAGTGTGCAGCAGCGCTAGTGGCAGCAGATACCGTTTGTTGGGTGTCGCTGCCATTGCAGCAATGATCTTCGTCGCAACGGCAATCTCGGATGGCCCGCATCCAAAATGGTTTGCACAGGCTTTTTCGGTCGGCAGAACGAGCCATGCTCGTGCGTCGGCAAGAAGGCGGGGATCGACGTCCATTCGACCGTCCGTGCTAGCGGCGAGTCGTCCCGATGGCGACAACGCCAGCACGAACGAGTGGGTTTCCTATTTCGAGGAGGTCTTCAACAACAGCAACAGCGACCTCGGCGAGGACGACGACCACCGAGGCTCTGCCGGAAGCAACGGCAGGACCGGTGAGAAGGAAGCGGTGGGGTTCCAAACTCCGGTGACGACCTACGCGAACGCCCTGGACCTTCTCGATGCCATCGACGGGGCACCGCCGGACGATCTGACCGCCGTGCTCTTTTTTGCCCATTATTGCAAGACCTGCCACCGGGCGAACATTCCCTTCAAGCAGCTGGCGTACGAGCACGGTGGCAGTGGCAGTGGCAGTGACAGCGATAGTGATGCTAACGGGTCTGGGGTCCGCTTTCTGCGCTTCGAAACCTCCTCCCTCTCCCCGAACCAGTTTCGGTCCCTCGGCCTCGAGCGGGTTCCCTTTCTGCAGATCTATCGCCGTGGAGTCTGTGTGGCCTCCTTTTCCGCCACAAAGGCCACGGGCCCGACCACCACCAAAATGGTCCTGCGGTCGCGCCTGTCGGAGCACCTCGAGGCCTGCAAGCGCCGGTCCGATGCCGACTGGTCGGCCTTTCGGAGGCGCTACGCGGGAGACATCGAGGCCAACGCCTCCGCCAGGAGGAGGCTCCGGGCCGAGCTGGTGGCCGGTGGTGGCATCGATGCCGACATGGACATGGACATGGACATGGGCATGGACATCGACACGGACCCTGGCACTGGCGCAAGCCAAGCAACCAAACACGAACGATTGTATCGGTCCGTTCGAACCCTGACGTCGGAGGCCGAGTTGTTGGATCTTGTTGTTGGCGACACCAACGACAGTGGCGACGAAACGCTCGTGGTCATGTTCCATTCCCACTTCGACCCGTCCTGTCTCCGGGCGCAGCACAAGTTCCGCAAGATCGCCGACGAGCGAAGGCAGAAACACCAACAGCAGGACACACCAATGGCCTCCCGGTGCAGGATGGTTCGGATCGAATCCTCCCTCCTGTCCGACGAGACGCTGAACCACCTGGGCATTCGGCGATACCCCCACATCCAAATATACCGAGGAGCTCCCGATTTCGGTGGGCGGGTCACCAGCGGGGACGTCCACCATGCCCGGACCAGAGCGAAAGAATGCGCGGCCTCGTTTTCCGTTCCGCGGTCCTTTCTTTTTGGCAAAATGCTCCACGAGTCCCTGGACGCCATCGACGAGCGAACGCCGGAGGAATGGGAAAAATTCTACGAGCAGCACGGCGACGAGATCGAGGCCCAGCAGGCCGGGCTGGAGAGGATTGTTCGGAAAACCAGTAAGAGACACGACCGCCCCGGGCAGTAGTGGCAGACAAAGAATGCCCGTTGCACCATGGTGCGATTGCCGTGCAAATCATGTTGTTGCAGATTTATACACATCGGATCAGCAGAAGACGCGTGGAAAATGAATCTCTTTGTGATAATGTTAATTGATGCATTATGTAATTTTAATATATGATAATGAATGGTGATTATACAGAGTGTTGTAAATTTAGTGATCGAGAAAAGATTCGTCTCCTTCGGTGGTAAAAAATGTGGGGAAGCGCGTACTCGTAGAAACAAACAGTGGAGACGACATCAATCCTGTGCCACGCTAGCCCTTCTCTGATTTCTTCGAGAGGCTCGAAAGACGACCAGGGGATTTTGTGTCGCTATTGTAGTTGCCTTGTCGGTGATGAATGATGTAATGGTATGATGTAAATGATAGGATACGACATTGCATGACATGGCATTCTATGAAGGAATAGCAGCATGCTGCTCGATTTTTTGACGATGCCCTTTTCGCAGCATTGCAACCAATCGATCCATTCGTCCACAATGGCATCGATGGATGGATCAGTCCGTGAGCAACAAATCCAGGTCGGTGTTCTCTACGATGTTGTTGTTCGCAGAATCGTAGTCGTCAAAAATTGCCGGGAAAAACAGGTTTTGGAAATCGGTGGTCGATCTGTTTCGCGGCTGCTGCATAGGGGTCACGGGGGCCGGCACTGGTGTAGAGACCGGCACCAGCTGCTTGGGTGGTGGTAGAAGCATTTCCGGTAGCTTGATTTTTTCTGCGAGGTCGTTGCCGAATGGGGTAGACATCGGTGACAGGGAGCAGGTATTGCGAGAAGGCAAACCGAGAAAAAGCATTAGAGCAAGTTTGTTAGGAGAAAATGAAACTCGTGTAGGAAGAGACGATTCCCTGTACAAAGGCCTGGATATTCTCACCTGCATACGCATTATTATTTGGCGGTTGACTAGGATTCGTGATGCTTTGGCATCTGTTGGGAGTCATCATCGCTGGTTTCGGCCAAAGCATCGGTGGAGAAGGCAGGAGCGGCGGTTGCTGTGATACAAAAGCACGGTCCGAATAGTCTGTAGAGGATTGCTGCCCGGTATGGACGTCCCCCGCGGAGCTGGTTCCTTGCCTTTTCTCCGATGGAACCGAGGGTAACAGCATCCCCTGGTTTGTCAAACGGTAGTTGTCCAACGCCATCGCGTCGCTTGGTGCTGGCCCTTCGACTGGGGAACTACTGCCCCACACATAAATCTTTCGTTCTGGCTCTTGGATAGAACCGGATAACTCTGGACGCGGAGGTGAAACGGACGGAAATGAAAGAGATGGCACTATGGCCCGTAGTGGTGGAGACGGTTGCAATGGGCCTGGACGAGCTTCTTCCGGTAGCCTCTTTTGATCGCCTATGGCGGATAGTTTCTGCTGTTTGCTCTTCGTGGCCACACTTGCTTCTAGATTTTGTGTTCGCCATGCAGTTATTTTCTTATGATAAACTTCTCGTTCATACAGCTCTTTATCGATGTGGGGTTGGCGAACTTGTTGTGGCGCGGCCTTCCATTCTTTGCCAAGAAGTTTGGATATATCCGTGTTCTTCATATGCGGATTCTCTTCGATCAAGGCCGTACGCCGTGTTCGGCTGTAGTTCAGGAATGCGGACGGTGGTCGTTTCGGAGCATTCGGGTCCTAAGAGATGGGTCCAGATAAGATGATAGCAACGGGTGAGCATATTCATTTGATAGCATGAATGAACGAGAGCTGGAGCGACTTAGTAAACCTACCTTTCGTGGGCGTTCTGTCGGCACTTGCCATGGGCCTTTGTACAAGCTCTTTTCGGCATTGTATCGAAGTTTGTCCTTTTCTGCGATCGCTTTCCATTTTTTCTTTTCATGTTCTGACAATCCCCTCCACTCCTTCGAGATCAGACTAGAGAAACATGTTACCTTGGTATTCTTGTTGAGGACCCTATATTCTTGCATCTTGCTAATGCTAAAAAGAATGTACGGGCTGAACCACAATGTAAAACAAGCAACAGCAAGAATCAATTTGGCTTAGACTGCGAATACGGAATACGCACTGCACACCAGTGTCCTTGCAAAAGAGTTGCATCAACACCCAAAAAGGGCACAGCACGCGACCATGCAAAACTACCAAACGGATACACTCTCGAACTCACCTTTTGAACCGTTTTGGAGCTTGGGGAGCCTTCTTAAATCCCATTGGTGGCTTTTGCGTCTTTTTCTTTTTCGTTCTGGTTTTTTGTCGCTCCATGGTGCGGTCTTTTGTGATTCTTCCGAGAACGTGGGGAATGTGGTAAGGGCGTTGTCTTCGCGCTAGGTAAAGGATAAGATCAGTAGAGTTTCCCGAAGGAATTTATGCTCTCGTTAGTTTTCAACCGTCAACAAAAGGGAGATTGATTACTAGTTCCGAACTAGAGTATCTGATTGTTCGGTTTACGAAAGTTAGATCAGTTTGTTGATAGCAACGGAGGGAAAAGCTCGGAACCAAATTGCTTCTTGCATTTCATGAACGACAAAACAAGAGGGGCTTTGTCCCGAAGGAGTTGGCGTCAAAGAAATTTCGTTTAAAGAAGAACAAGGTGTGTGCAATAGCAGTTCTGTGCGGTAAACTGTTGCACAATTGCACAATTTGTCGTGATCGATACGGTGGAAGAGTTCTTTCGAAAAAGGGATCATCTGGTATGATTAAAATCAATCAAAACATCAAAATCTTATAGGACCATTAATTGAAAATAAAGACGTGAGAGCTCGAAGCGACGTCAAAAATGTCAATTGGTATGCTACTCCTTTCAATATTTCACCTGCGAGTTTTGTAGAAAATAAATATTAGAGAACAAAAAGCGATTTCTCAGCATAATGAAAATACCGGCATGAAACAAAAAGTCGTGTTGTCGATCGTTAAGAAGAAGCTCGCGTCGCTACGGGGCGGAAACGAAACAAGCTTCTCGGTTCTCAAAAAATGGAATTGTCTATCATACGTATCGTATCACAATATCAGTGATAAGGTGGATAACAATACAGAGACTATTTATCACCGTCAAAAATAGAAAAGGGTTTTGCGAACGCATGGGTTTGGTCGTGGAAATGACCATTTTATAACGTTCGTCGAGCGACTCTGAGCATAAATAGGGCTTTCTGGGAGTCATTCTCGATGTTTTCACGAGTCAACCACAAAGGTCATCCCGACACGGCCATTATTTCTTTCGATTAGTGCCCGTGAGAACTTCAAGGCTGGTGTTCCATTACCTTGTCTTGCGCTAGCAGTGAAAGAGACGTTATTGCAACCACTGCTCTCATCTGTGAGTTGTTTGATTTCTCTTCGAAGACGGCAACAGACAAAAGTTAATGGAATTCAACATCTATAGTATAGATAACTTCTGTAGCAAAGAGAATGATCATGAAGGAAGTATCAACCGCGAAGAGCGTATTGTTTTTCGTCGGAGTTCTTGCATTTTTGCTCCAGATATCGAGTACGTAATATTGTTGTTTAGCCAAATGAAAATAAGGCTCGTCCTTTGTGGTCGACCCATTTCTTATTGTTGCCGCTTCGCTCCCCTTTTCGTTTGCGGTTTTCGTAAATTCCAGGGTCTTCGGGTCAAATTATAAATGAGGGAGTAGATCCAACATTAAAAATTATTGAAGAGGGCGAAGATCCAACATTAGGAACGGGAGTGAACGAAGAAAAAGATGTTATGGACACGTGTGCAGGTGGATCAGGCCCTCGCCCTATCAATGGAGTGTTTTCTCCCGGACGAACCGACTTCGCCTCAGTTGATGATGTGAACGGTGGCTTTTGCGGTGTCGAAATCGACAGACCAGGAATATGGTGGTGGTAAGCAAATTATTAACCTCGTTGAAACTTTTGCCTTCCAGTTCTCTCTTAGAGGCATGCGTTCGATGGTTGATTATCCATTATCTTTGCACTTTAAGATGAACTTCCTTGTACTAATTTTTCTTTTGCTATTATTCTCTTGTTCCTAGGGTTGAAGGCACAGGGGATTTGATCAAGGTATCTAGTTGTAACAAACAAACCAATATCAAAGTTAAAATGAGCGTCTTTTCTGGATCCTGCGATGAGCTCGAATGCGTGACGGGTTCAGAAGATCCAGATTTTGAATGCACCACTTGTGACGAGGTCAATGCTATTGGAGAATGGAAAACGTTTGCCACGGCGATTACTTTTCAATCCGAATTAGAGAAAAACTATTATGTTTTGGTACAGCAAGCTGATGAACAACCTGGAACAATTTGGTTGAATTTTCAAACCCCAATTATACCCCAAAACGACAACTGTGTAGATGCAATCGGCCCTGTGCCCCGAGACATGACCACAATTGAGAACTCAAATGAATTTGCGTCGATATCCGTAATGGATGATTATTGTGGGGGAGAGTTTGTGCCATCACGGTATCCCGGAACGTGGTTTCAAGGTGAGTTGACGAAATCAATAATTTGTTTTTCATCTCTTCTCGAATAATGCCATGCGCACATTGAACTTAACTTAGCTTGCGATTGTTGTATTTATACTATTGAAAATGTTTTGCGATCGAAGTCATGGGCACCGGTGGGCTGGTTTCAGTTTCGGCGTGCAGCCCCTGGAACTTTGACGGGTACGCGTTCAGTGTGTACTATGGTGATCACTGTGATAACCTTGAGTGTGTTGCAGGAGCGTACGAAGTCAACATCGAGGATCCAGACCATTGTGTTTTTGGCAGCGGGAATCAGCGTGCGATGACCAGGTATACATTCGATACTATAGATCGAAGCCGGTATTATGTTTATGTCCACTGGGCACAAACTCGATCCGAGAAGCCAACGGCAGACTTTCGGTTCTTTGTGAACGATGGTAGGGAAGGTGATGCTGGCACCAGCGGTGCTCATGTAATTGCATACGAACCTCACACCACTTATGATTGGAGCGGCTACAGAGACGGTACCGGTCGGTCTATTGGCAGAACCGGTGATGAGGAGGGCAATGCTGACAATGAGCAACCATCCTCCAGTAGCAATATCCAAATCCATCGTGGACTTTCTATCTTTGTTCTTGCCATATCGTGTGCACTTCATTCATTGTTATAGCGATGTAGAAGTACTCTATTTTATGGAGAATGCCATGTCAATTGGTTACTCCTCATCTGAAAGAAGAGATGAATCCATTTACTCCGCTCTATAGTTTACTGCTTCATATAATTATTTTCTAATGGTGATTTTAACTATATGCCAGAGACCGCAGTGCTGATAAAAAATGAAAGCAGATATACTGCAATCATGCCGATTAAATTATCCAGGTGGCCATTGCATTTGCCGACCACCCATCACATGCTGAAAATTGCGAGCAAAGAGCAGAAACAACACAAGAACAAAAAAGAAATTTAAGCATCAAGTACGAGACGGCTTAGAAGATAGACCATTCGGCTAGTACCATCTTCCAATTTAAAATGCATGATGGACTTACAACGTGAAGATGATAGACGCTCTGCGCACCATCCTTGCCATCGTTGACGACGACCCGAAACCCGCCGGGACACTCTTCCTGGCCGAGCTTTTGGGCCACGTACACTAGATGGCCGAGCAACGCCTTCTGGTCTTCCCGCGCTTTCGAAAGCTGTGTCAAACCATCTCGGTGTTTCGGAATCACCAAAAAGTGAACCGGCGCCTGCGGGTTGACGTCTCGAAACGCAATGCAAAGCTCGTCGTCGTGGATCTTGTTGGCCGGGATGTCTCCCGACAAGATTTTGTCGAAAATCGTGGGTGGTAAAGCATCTCCGGCATTGTTTGCGGCGGCCTCCTGGGCCTTTTGTACTTCGTCCGAGGACATGGCGAGGGCGGTGGCAGTCGAGTGCGAATACGAATGCGAAAGATTTTGAAAAGGAAAGGCGAAGGCTCCGGCGACGTGGATGTTGTTGGAAACGTTGCTAGTGAAAGTTTTTCCGGATAGAAGTGCGGAACAAGATAAAATTCTTGCGATAGTTCTTCGTCCTGTTAGGCTGCACACGGAATACAGAAGATTCTCAGTGAGCAAGTTGTGCACGAAGACAAATACTACCAATAGTAGAACGACGAGCCCTATACACACATTCGTGGTACGTATGATAAGGCTGGTGATGAAACAAATCCAAAAGCGCAAAAGCGCCGAATGCCCCCTCTCCCTCATACTAATGCCTGGGTATATAACTTACCGCATTCCTATGGCTCGTTGCGATAAAAGGTAGCTGGTAAAGTGACCTTGCATTTACTTGAAGGATTCCAGCTTCAATTGATCCTGTACTGTACATCTACCATGATGCAAAATTCCTACGGTTCGAGTACGTACTCACACGTACGACCGCGAGGAGGAGGCGGGCCGTGACAGCTAGCTAAGGTTCTGTCTTGAGCAGCGTCAACGGCCCATCTACTAGATTCATGGGATTTCAGATCGGCGAGAAAAGATTTTTGATGTTTTTTTTACTGTACCGTAGCTACGAAGTCTACTAAACACGCTGCTCGGGACTGCACTAAAACAAAGAGCACACATACATTTTGCAAAGAGCAGCAGAGGAGACATTTCAAATTACTTTTTGACCGTTATTTTAACCAGACAACACTAGATACATACATACAAAACATATCTTAAATACCGTATGCTCTTCTAATACGAAGCACAGGATGACATTTGACTTCTTTTCAGCCATCAAAATCTTTCTGCTTCGGAAAAATCAATCACTACGGTAGTAGAAGGCTACAAGCCACGCAAAGACAGCACATGGTGAATCATCAGCATTGACAGCGCACGACAGAGTTGCGATACGCCATTCGAGCACAAAGATATACGGTCCAATTTTCACACACGGTTCCCATAAAGACGATCAGTACTGGTAGTACAAAAGCACCCAATTACAATTATACAATGATGTTGTCACGATCTCTTATTCTCTTCGTGTCTCTTATCAGCTTCGCTGATGCATTTGTCGTCCGCAGCAGCAGTCGGCCTCAGATGATGACGCTGAATGCCAAGAGCGACGCGGAATCGGTTCGAAAGAAGGAATTTGTGGCCATAATGGCAGAAGAACTAGGATACACAAAGACGGATGCCGAAGCTGCTCTCAACTGCGTAATTGATACTATTGCTGAAGTAAGTTGATGGTGCATTCTATAAATTTGTCGAGTGTATCTTTGCAACTATTTTGAGGTTCTGGATAATGAAGATTGCAGCGCACACCGAACTGGAAGTGCAAAGCAATCAGTCGATGGCGTGATAGTTTGTTTTGAAGCTTGATCAAGATCCGCTTACTCACCGGCGTTCCGTCGATTCCCTCATTCTTTTCGTGTCAATGATATTTTCGAAATGCGTTGATTGGTCATTGATTGATGGAACAGAACCTTGCCGACGGAAAGAAGACTGTTTTCCCTGGCTTTGGAACCTTCGAGCCAAGATCGAGAAGCGCAAGAGTGGGCAGAAACCCTAAGACGGGTGAAAAAATCGAAATTAAGGCTTCTGTAGGAGCAGGTTTCAGCGCCGCCAAGGGACTGAAAGACAGACTCAATGGAAGGGATTAAGCACAATATACTTTTTTCAACAACGACGTAGATGCGCTGGACCCAAGTTGCGAAATGCGAAATGGAAAACGAGGATTGCAAACAAACCTTAGAATCCAATTGTTGGGTGCCTCTGATATTATCTGTTGAGTGCAAGACTGTTAGAGAGAGGAGATTAAAATATAAAAAAAGTTAATGAAAAATGCGTGTCAAGTCCCATTTTGATTGGTGCGGTATCCGACAATTCATGCTTATTTCCGAGAACATGTGGACTTCATGGACTAGTGAACTTTCATAACCCCATCGTTCAAATGGATTTGATCCTATTGATTTCGTTCGGAAGTCGACGAAGAGATGAAATGACTGCTTTTTTGTTTCAGATTTTTTTCTGTTATTTAATGTCTATTTCAATAGTTCTATTTAACAAAGGTTTTCTACGTATGCTTTTTTAAGAGAACGACGTAGACTCATTCTCCACGGTTGCACCAACCTTTTGAAGTTACAACATTCCAGCGACCTCGGCATCGCAGCCATACCATAACCACTATCAGTTTGATCGATCCTCGGGAATCTGTGTTCGCCGGCGCACGACAGTTTCGCGTCGTCGTAGTTGGGGACGTTCTGTCGATACCAGAGGCTCGTCGTGATCCAACTCGTATTCTTGCTCGAGGAAAAAGAACAGAGAGGAAAACAATGTGAAGACAATCGTACCGATCGCTCGTGGAACCGCGTTGGCCCCACCCCATCCCAATTGGGTCTGAAGGCCCCCCGCCGCGAGACCGAGGACTCCCCCAGTTGCGATCAATGTTATTTCGTCTTCTTGAAACACGGGGTGCAAGAGATCTTCGAACTCGGTTGGACTCAACACTTTGAGTCGCCGAGCCAGTGTGTCGCTGATGTCGAGTCGTTCGTTGACGTATTTGTGAACATCTGCATATTTTATGGGGTCGGCGGCGATATTGGCCACCCCATCCACTGCGGCCGATAGAATTTCGGAGGGGATCGGATACGGCAGGTGTCGCCGAAGGAACTTGAACAGTTCACCGTCTTCTCCACCCAACGACAAATCCTTCAACAGGTCACCGGCTGTCAAGACACGCTTCTGCATAAAGTCTCCAAACTCGTCGCTGACCTCTATTTGTCTGCTTTCAAACATGCCTTGGATTTCAAAGAGGCCGCCCACTATTTCTACCGGTTCGGCTGGTTCAAAAATCATGCGGATAGCGATCCAGTTCGTAACGTAGCCCACAAAAGCACCAGCTGCCGGTAGCGTCCAGGCAACGGGATGCGCAGCCCAAAAGACCATCTGCCCTAGTCCCAAGATGAAGCCCAAACCGAACCCGGAATTCACCAAGAAGTCGAGCTCCACTCGGCCAACCTTCTGGAATAGATCGACGAGGGTGGCTTTGTCGCGAACGAAGGCCGACAAAACAATCGTTTCGAGGTCGAGGACTTGATCGATCTCTTGTTTCAAGCTAGTTACTATATGGGGCATTAACCACGGCAGGATTTTCTTCACCCCCCATGCATACAAATTTCCACCCATGCGATCCGACCCTGCAAGAGCGGAGTCAACGGCGTCTTCGATGCCCGGTAGGAGCAATTGCCCCAATTCATTCGGGTCCAACCGGCCGAAAGCCTCCTCGAGAGATAATAGTTTATCGGTTATAATTTTCACAAGACGTCTTGCCATAAGGTCGGTTTTAGTAGGAACCACTCCTTGCCATCCAAAAAGTCCATAAGGTGTTTTGTCCCACCTCTTCCAATCCAGCCCGCGATACTCGACGGGATAAAAAAGCATTTTCACTCCCATCCAATTGGTCAAAATCCCAACAAAAGCAGCAACACATGGAACTGAAAGGAACTCGATAGGGCGATTCGATATCTCCTGCCAAGCTTTGCGTCTGAAATTACCCATTGTTGTTGGAGCAGATTGTATTGTCGTGCGTTGTAGAGAAGAATTTGTTGGTGCCGGCCATTGTCGACGTCTTCGCAATACAGCTTGGCCCTTTCTTGCTCCCCTACTACTGATAGCATGCAGTGAGGACGAATATTGACGGCGATTTTCGCAGTGCCGAATTAATCGCAACGCCATGACATCAAATTCTTGGAAGTTACGGTGCTGATGTATTCGAATCAATCTCGTTGACATATTCATCTTCATATTCGCTGACAGAAAAACATGTTTCCTTGCGTTCATCATCGTATCGTGCTTGTTTCTAGTTGGATTGTGTGAGAGTGTGTGTGTGTCCTTCTTGTCGCATTTCTGATCTAAAATGCCGGTAATATGAAGAAGAACGACGAGAGTGAGTTCGAGACTTCGAAGTGAAAATTCCAATCTGTTGTGAAAAATAATGCTGCAATACAAAAACAATTGACCCATTAGCCCATCAGGGACTCTCTTTAGTTCTGGAAATACTTACTCGTACGCACGCTATCTACCGCATGGTATCGAAATCGTCCAGTCCGAAGATGCCATGTACCGTACGTCGTCGGGTACGTACCTGGCCTGGTGGGTACGTACATAAGATTTCTCGTACTCGTAATTTATGGTTCCGTACGTACGTACCGGTACGGTATCTGCTAAATGATACACATGTATTTTTTACCGTTGTTTGACTGTATATTATATGGTACACATTTTCGTACCCCTCATATTTAGTAGTACCAAAATTTTTTTGTGTACATTTCTACGGTGCTGATGTGTGTACTTGTATTATTTTATTAACTACCAGAGTCGCCTAATAAGTATAATAACC